AAGCAGCAAGGAAACATGCTGGACCAAGGGAACTTAGTAGATCCATACAGAGCGTTTCATCCAAACCCAGCACGATACACATCCTCTTCCAGGGCACATGCCACCGTGTCCAGGACAGACCACATTCTAGGCCACAAACCGAGTCTCAGTAAATTTAAGGAAGTTGAAATCATATCAGGGACCTTTTGTGACCACAGCGCCATGAGACTAGAAATTAACTACAAGGAAAAGTAACTGCAAAATATGCTGGTAAACAACCAATGAATCACTGAAGTCCAAGAAAAATCTTAAACATACCTGGAGATAAATGGAAATGAAAAGCAAATGATCCACCGTCTCTGGGACGCAGCAAAGCAGTTCTAAAAGGGATGACTATGGCGATACAACCCTGCCTGAGGAAACGTCTCGGACACACACCCTGACCTCACGCCTAAAGCGAGCGAGACAAAGAAGAGCAAACAAAACCCACGGCGAGCGGAAGGAAGAGACCATGAAGATCAGAGCAGGAACAACGAAACAGAGGCCGGAAAGAGCAGGAAAGGTCAACGAAGCTAAGAGCAGGCTCTTTGAAGAGAGAAGCAAAATCGATGGGCCTTTGGCCAGACTCACCAAGGAAAGGAGAAGACGGCCCGAATCTAGAAGAGCAGATGCGAAAGTAAGTTACAGCTGACGCCACAGAAGCACAAAGGACCCTAAGAGATTACCTGAGACAATTAATTTGAAAACCTACCAATAAACAGAAGTCCAGGGCCAGACGGCTTGAGAGGAGACTTCTGCCAAACGTTTAGACAGGATTTTGACCCTTCCCTTCTCAAGCTATTCCCAAAACTTGCAGAGCAAGGAGCACTTCCAAACCCGTCCCACGAGGTCAGCACCACCCTGATACCAAAGCCAGACTGAGACGTGTCAAAAAGGGAAATGACACGCCAGTATTGCTGATGGACAGAGACGCAGAAATCCTCAACAAAATGCCAGCAAACTGAACCCAGCAGCACATCGGAAGGCCCACACCCCGCGATCCAGGGGGTCACCCCAGCCGTCCAAGGATGTTCCAATATCTGTAAATCAACCAAAGCCAGACACGCAGCCGTGCAACAGAACAGAGGGCCCAGAAATAAACCTACACGCGTGTGGGTTATAACCCGAAATAAAGGAGGCAGGAAGTACAGCGGGGAAAAGGCAGCCTGTGCAGTGAGCGCTGGGCGTTGGGAAAGCTGGACAGCTACCTGCAGAAGAGTCAGACTGGACTACTCTCTTACAGCACGCCCTAAGACAGGCTCAGAGCAAGTTAAAGACTTCACCGTAAGGCCTGAAATGATAGAACTTCTCGAAGGCAACAGAGGTAGTAAACTCTTTGACATGTCTCGGTAATATTTTTTTGGATTCGTCTCCAAAAGCAAGGGAGACAGAAGCAAAAACAAACAAATGGGCCGACATCAAACTGAAACGCTTGGGCGCAGAGAAGGAAACAGCAAAACAAACAGGCCGCCGGCTGAATGTGAGAAGGTTTTTGCAAACAGCACATCCGATGAGGGGTTAACACCCCAAATACATGGACTCATACAGCTCAACATTCAAAACCTGAACAGCCCAGTTAAAAAGTGGGCAGAGGGTCTGAACAGATATTTTCCAAGAAGACACACAGACGGCCAGCAGGCACGTGGAAAGATGCTCAACATCCCTGCTCAGAGAAATGCAAGTCAAAGCACAAGGAAACACCACCTCGCACCTGTCAGAACGGCCATCACCAAGAAGACCACAGATAAATGCTGGTGAGGATGTGGAGGGAAGGGAGCCCTCGGGCACTGCTGGTGGGGATGTGCACGGGTGCAGCCGCTGTGGAAGACAGTACGGAGGTTCCTCAAAAAAGTAAAAAGAGGACTATCATACGATCCAGCAATTCCACTCCTGGGCATATATCCAAAGAAAATGCAAAGCCATTTGAAAAGATATTTGTACCCCTACGTTCACTGCAGCATTATTCACAACAGTCAAGATATGGAAGCAACCTAAGTGCCCGTCAACAGACGACTGGATAAAGAAGATGCGGTGTACACATAACAGAATACTACTCAGCCATAGAAAAGAATGAAATCTCGTCATTGGCAAAAATATGGATGGACCTAGAGGGTCTCATGCTAAGTAAAGTCAGACAGAGAAATGCTATGTGATTTCTCTTCTATGTAGAATCTAAAAAACAAAAGAGCAAACAAAATAAAACAGAAACAGAGTCATAGATGCAGAGAACAAACAGGTGGCTGCCGGGGGTCGGGGGAGCAAAGCAGAGGGTGAGAGGCACTGACAGGTGCAAACCTCCAGGTGCAGAGTAAACGAGGCCCCCGCCCGAGACGTGCAGTGGCTCCGTGATCTCCCTGTGCGGTGCCGTGTCCTAAGCGGACTCTCCGTGGTGGTCACTTTGAAATGCACAGAAGTGTGGAATTACTCTGTTGTACAACAGGAGCTAACCTGGGACTTCAAGTCAGTCACACTCACAAACAAACAAGTTCATAGAAAGAGGTCACACTGGGGTTACGGGGGCGGGGAATTGGATGAAGGCAATTGGATGTGTCTGTATGAGATGCTGGATGTTCATTAAATTTATAGTGATCATCGTTTCCTGATGTTCATAGGTCAGATCATCGCGCTGTGCACCTTAAGGCTGTACGGTGCTGTACGGCAATGCTACCTCAACAGAACCGGAAGGGAAAATAGAGAACTACAAGTTCATCTTATTTTTGTGAAATAAAGAACTCACTTCTAAGTAACCTGTGGATCAAAGGAAAAATCATAGTGGAAATTAGAAAATGTTTTGAACTGAGTTGCACTGAAAACATCATGTAACAAACTGAGTGCAGCCGAGTTAGCACAGAGCAAACCTGTAATCCTAAACACGCACGCCAGGAGGAGACAGACTAGAACCTAAGGTGCTGAGCACCTAATTCAAGGAGCTGTGAAAAGAGCTCCAGTATAAACCCAAAGGAAGTAGACGGAAGAAAATTAGATTAGAAATTAATGCAAAGAGCAAACACGTGACAGAGGTGTTCCTCAAAGCCAAGATTCTGTCCTTTTAAAAGATTTATACAATCGACAAACCTCTTATGAAGCTGGTAAACGAAAAGAGAAGGAGCCGATCACCCCGTCGGAGCAAAGGGCCTGTAACTGCGGACACTACAGACGCCAGGTGTTTTGAAGATGCGCGAGCAGCCTTACAGCAACGCATTCGGAAGTCTAGACAACGGACAAATCATTAGAAAAATATTATAACCAAAGCTGCTTCTAGAACAAACAGTAGTGGGGAGGGTGCAGCTCGGCAGCAGAGCACACGCTCAGCACGCACAAGGTCCTGAGTTCAACCCCCGGCATGTCCAGTAAAATAAATCACCCTATCTCCCACCTCGAAAAAACTGCAAAGAACAAAAAATAGAAAACTTGAAAATTCCCATAGGCACAAAGGAAATTCATTCAACGGTCAAATACATTCCCACCCAGAAACTCTAGGCTCCAAGGCCCCCTTTCACACACATCCTTCCAGGGGGAGACACCGAAGGTCCACTCCCCGGCGCAGATCGTGGGCTCGGTGGTGTCTGTTACCAGAGCCTGATGGCGAAAACAGACGAAGGGAGCTCCAGCCCAGCCTCACCCTCAGCACACAAAACCTGAGGCGAAGCGCGGCGGCCGGCCCTGCGGCACGCGGACGGGACGCCCCCTTGCGCCGGAGGCCAGCCCTGCTCACCCGGGAGCAGGCCGCAGGGAGTGGCCCCCTCAGCCCAGCCGACGCAGGACAGGCGCTGCTGAAGTTCAGCATTCCGCCTGCGCTTTACAGAGACTCAGCAGACTGGCACTAGAAGTGAAGTTGTTCCCAGCGTGTGACCACCTCTACGTAATTCCTGAGTGCACCAAAGGTCTCCGTGTTATTATGACAAGTTTCCAACTCACAGGGCACATGGAAGGGTGTTCGGGCCCCTCAGCAGGTAGAGACTCCGCTGTCCTGACAGACCTGCCCACGCGCCAGCGCCTCCTGGAATCCCCTGGAGATGTGGGCCCCCGGGCAACAGAACGCTCCGTTCCTCTGCTGGTCTGAGGGCGCAGGTCTGGGGTGGACACTGCCGGACAGCTGCGAACTGTCTGGCTTATCTTCCAAAGGGGTGCCCGGGTCACTTTGCCCGCCCTCAGCCCGCCTCTGCTCTCCGCAGGTCAGGCTGTTGGGAGTCCGAGCGGACTCGGGCACCACGAGCCCAGGGACGCGGCCTCGCCAGCCGCAGAGGGCAGAGGCCTCGCGCCACCGCAGTCCCCGGGCACGCTGTGCTCAGTCGTAAACACTGGAGGTGTTGCCTTTAAGAGGGAGAACAAAACGGGGGTGCCGTCTGAAACCACCGCCACTCCGCGTCCCTGGGGCTGCCCGACCAGAACAACCAGGAAGGCAGAGAGGGCACTGCGAGCTCATCTGCAAACAGGAACAGACTTGCTGGCAGAGTTCACCATCTCATGGTTACCAGGGGGCAAAGGGAAGTGGGAAGGGATAAAACTGGGAGTTCGCGATTTGCGAACATTAGCTACTACATACAAAAATAGAGAAAAAACCAGATTTCTTCTGTAGAGCACAGGGAACCATATTCAGTATCTTGCAATAACCTTTAATGAAAAAGAATATGAAAATGAATATGTGTTTGTATATCATGACCAGGACAGTGTGCTGTGCAGCAGAAGTTGACATGTTGTAATTGACTGTACTTCAACTAAAAAAAGAATATTGAAAAAAGAAAAACAACAAGAAAAATGAAAGAAAAGGCGTGAGGATAGAAGGGGAAGACAGTCGTCATTTTCATATTAACACGACTGTACATGCAAAGAATACAGATTAGAAGGTAAATTGTTACTATTATTGAGACAATTTAGTAATGTTACTACATATAAATTCAATGGTGAAAATCAGTGATTCTCTCATTTATCAGGACAAACATGAGACGGTAAGACTTGGAAAACTTATCTCTTGCAATTACCTCAGCGAGTCGGAGGTCCCGGCGAATGCACACAGCAAAGCACCTAAGGGACCCCTGCCTGACGGGAGATTGCGGGAGCCCTGCTCGGTGACGGCACACGGCACCTAAGTAAAAAGGAAACGCAGCAGATGGACCAGCTTCTTCAACCAATGGCTGTCACGGGGGAGAAAGGGAGGGGGAAGGGCAGTCTTAAATTTTAAAGCCTTAAGAGACAAGCCAACCACCGGCGAGGAGGGCGGGGGAGTCCTTGTCTGGATCCGGGGTCACGCAAGAGGCTGTAAAAGGCACTTCTGAGATAATATGGGAAAGTGAACACCACCTGGTGTTAGGTTTTATTACAAAATTAATGTTAGTTTTGTTGGGGTTGCTAGCGGTTTCATGGTTCTGCTGAAAACAAGCCACTACCTGTTAGAACTGTACACTACCGTGTTCACAGGTGAAATGTGACACCTGGGTTTTCTCCAAAACGCATCAGCTGAGAACTAGAAGGAGCTAGCGAGGGGGTGGCGGGTGCCTGCGCATCCGTCTGACCATTTCCCTACTTTCGTGAGTTTGAAATTGTCCATAATAAAAGTCCAAAAAAGGAATAAAGCCAATATAAGTAAATAAATGGAGAGGTGCATGTTTAAGTACTGGAGACTCCATGTTGCCAAGATGCCAGTTCTCTCCAAATTGCTCCAAAGATTCACTAAAGCCCCCACCAAAATCCGACAGGGCTGTGCATGTGTGTGTGTGCATGTGTGTGTGCGTGTGCACGTGTGCCAGCACTGGGCAAGGAACGCACATCTCCATCATCATGCCAAGAGGTGGGGCACCCGCCCCGGAAGTCAGTCCCACGAGGACAAAAGACTCACAAGTGAGGACAAAACTACTGCAGAGAAGGGGGCACCATGACTTCAGGGTTTCTGAAATGAGACACCAAGACCATGAAGCCCCAAGCGGAGAAGCTGGCAGTCACATACATTTAAACTGAAAACTGTCATTCAGGGGAACCCTAAGGAGAGTTAAAGAAAAGCTACAAATTAGAAGATAAATGTAACGCATTTCCCAAAATGTGTTTCCCAAATTTCCTAAGATCACCTTCCAGACACATAAGGAATGCCCACAAACCAATAAAGAAGACGGACAGCCTGACAGACAGCCACGTGGTGGGACTCAAGCGGGCTGGTCACCGTCAAGGACGGTCCGTGTGCAGTGAGCAGGGCCGCCACACGTGCCCTGTCAGCACACCCTGACTCGGGCCTGTTTTCCTGGCGTTATCGACAGTGTTCCCTTTAACTCTAAACAGGGTCCTGGTTGCATGGTGAACTATGTCTTGGTAATAAACCCAAAAAAGTTGCCCAGCCTCATTTGTAATTAGGGAAATGCACATCCGCCACAATAAACTGGTATCACGCAGGCGTCACACGGTGACACAAGTCCGATCCTCCGAGTGCAGGCGGGCCATGATGCAGCAGGGTCGGCCGGCCACACACCAAGGGCAGGAGAGGAGACCGGGGCAGGGCTGTGAAGAGGGTTTGGCATCTCCTAGCAAAGTCAGAGCCGCACGCGCCCCGGACCAGTGTCCTGCTGCCGCCGCAGGAATTACCAGGACTCGGTGACTTCGTGCAAGGTTACTGTCTCACGGTTCTGGAGGTCAGTGGTCTGAAGTGAGTCTCATTGGGGGTCAGCAGGGCTGTGCCCCTCTCTGGGGCCTCTGGGTTGGGGGGAATCTGTTTTCCTGCCGTTTCCAGGTTCCAGAGGACCCATCCTGCCAACTTCACAGCCAGCCACGTCCAGGGCCTTCCTGGTGCCTCCCTCTTCCGCGGCTGCACTGGGCCCGGAGAACCCAGGGGACCCTCCCCATCTCAGAGTCGGCTGGTTGAGCACCTACATCCCCCGCTGCCTGGAACCCACACTCACAGGTGTGTCCCAGGTGTCAGGACACAGACGTCCCTGGGGCCGCGGTTCCGTCTACCACACCCTCTGACTCTGCAGCTGCTCCCCTAGGTGTTTACCCGACAGGAACCCTCAGGTGCTGGACATGAGTCCTGGCACCGCCAGAACCGCGTATCACAAACAGGGTCTCAGAACCATGCAAAGTGCCACCTCTGCGCCCTGCAGGACAGCGATCTGCAGCCGAGGTGCCAGCTCCATCTGGGGGAGGGAAGATGCTGCCCCGGACCTCTCCCCAACCCTGGTGGTTCCCTGGCTCATGGCAGCATGACTCTAGTCCATGTGACATCCTCTCTGTGTCTGCATCCAAATCCTCCCCCCCATATAAAGACCCCTGTGTGCTGGATCTGGGCCCACTACCCGCCGTGTGACGTCTTCTTAACTAACTGCGTCTCCAGTGAACCAGCTTCCAGATGAGGTCACGTTCTGCCATGCTGGGGGTTAGGACTTCCATGTACCCTTTTTTTTGAGGAGACACAACTGAGCTCCTAACACACAAACACCAGGAGCTGCAAGGGGATCTGACTGAGGGGAAGGGTGTAGCTCAGGACAGGCACGTGCCGAGAATACACGAGGTCCTGGGTTCAACGCCCAGCACCTCCATTAAAATAAATAGTAAATAAATAAAGAAACCTAATGACCTCCCCCAATCCCAGGAAAAGAAGACCTCACAGAGCACTGTTCATAACAGCAGGAAGTCAGGGATCAGCCCTTGGCCTCCGCAGCAGGAGGCCGTGACTCAGGCTGCAGGCGCCGTGCGCTGACGCGGACCAATGAGCCTCTCCTGCTCTGGGCAGCCATGGGAGCGGCGCAAACACAGCTGCGGGGGGGAGATGGACACACACACACAGCTCTTCTTCCCCTTTCCGCCCTAGGAGGTCAGGGGAACCCGGGTTCCACCACGGCCCAGACGGGATGTCCGAGCCTGAGTAGGAGGGAGGCAGTCCCACGTCGGGCATCGGGGCCCAGGCAGCGTGGGGTGGTGTCCACGGCGAGGCCAGCAGCTCAAGCCTGGGAGGGACGACAGAGCTGCACAGCTTCAAAGCACCTCCCAACCAAACCCTTGTCAGCCACAAAGGGAAACGTGACTTCCCCGTGGAGACGCCAGCAGACACCACCGTGATCACGTGATCAAAGCAAGTATTGTTGGTAATGGGTGAGAAGGGCCACTGTGAGCCCCCTGGAGGATGTGAGGAGCCGAGTGACACACAGCGTCACTCCTGGGACTTTCCTGACAAAGATGTAGTAACCTGGTCATGAGGAGACACCAGACACCCCCGAACGGATGGGGCTCCCTGCAAAGTAACTGGCCTGTGACTTTCAAAGGTGAGAGGGTCACAAAGGCCAGGAAAGCCTGAGGAATGTTCTGGACCGAGGGAGACTAAAGAAACACGACAACTCAGCGCAGTGTGGGACCCCAGCCTGGGTCATTTTGTTTCTGTGCCTCTGTGGGGTCACCTGGCCAAACAGGCTGCATGGAGCCTGAGTCTTAGACCTCGAGGCCCATCCGTGTTACTGTCCTGACGCTGACGGCCGTGCTGTGGTGCTGCTGGAGAACGGCCCGCCTGTGGGGAACACACTCGGAAGTATTTGGAGGTGACAGGCCACCAGGTAGGTAACCTATTCTCAAATGCTCCAGAAGTTTTTTATGCTGAACTTGCAATTTTTATGTAAATTTGGGATTATTTCAAAAATTAAAAAAAGAACATAGTATTATTCCTATATAAGGGTTAAAACCAGATGAAGCATATTGTTTCAACCAAGGAAATTAGAATCACAAAAGTTAGCCTTTGGTCACGGGGAGGGTCTGTGTGGGCTGGGCTGACTTTCCAGGTGCTGACAAGGTTCTGTTTCTGGACTTGGGTGTGACTACCGACGCTGGCTTTATAACCACCCCTTCAGCTGTACCTGTAGGTTTACACGGGCATCTGACTGCAGAGAACGTCTACCAGGGGATGCTCTGAACTGTGGGTACCAGCGCAGGCCGGCTCGTCGCCTGGTTCGGTACTTGGCGCAGAGCAGATGCTCAAGGAATGTGCTAGATACAGAAACGCGAGCAGATAAAAGGGGTATAAGTTTATGGAAAACAGAAAAATAGAGGTCTCCAGAAACAGATGCACCACGAAAAGCCAAATGCAGACGACTTCGGAATTAGGACTTGCGCCCCTGCTTTGCTCCGCCCGGACCCTCGGGGTCCCTCTTCTCCCCAGCCGGGCCGACCCTGAGCTCTGCTCCAGGGTTTCCTACACGCGCTCTGAGCACACCGCGTCGTCCGCGCAGGGCCGGCGGCAGGGCCCCAACCCCGGGGGTCCCTGAAACCAGCCGGGCCGCGCCGCACTAGCGGTTACTTCCCGGGCAGAACTCGCACGATGAGCGGTTGATTCGCGCCTGGG